ACTATGCAGTATGACTGGTATACTTTCCCTCAAGTCTGCAACACTCACCTATCTGATAGCATTTTCTAAACATCACGTCTACCTATAACCTCCTCTTTATTTTATTTTTTGGGTCTCTTAAGGACCAAGAATTACAATCATTTCCTCCAAGCTTCCGTAATTCACCTCTATTTTAAATTCCCTGTCCTCATGTCAGAATGTATCCAAGTCAAATATTTCTTTACTCTCCAGGGCCCCTCCACTCCTCTCACTTTTGGGTACACACTACTCTGGATGTGTCTTTGCTAGGTGCAAGCTCCCCAGAGCAGCAATCCATTTAATCTACATTTTAGATCTATAACTATATGCACAATGATAGTGAGGATCTCTGTGTTGCTACGTTTAAAGAATTTACACATCGGGGCCTGCTCCCTTGTTGCTGTCAGCCCACTTCACTTTAGGAAAAACTCTCTTCAATAATATCAAAAAGCAGTGCTTTATAGCTTTGTTCCAACTCTGAATTTGGAAACCAAAAATAAAACATATGTTTCTATTACAAAAGAGTAAAGGCTATTTCTACTAAAAACACTTTACAAATCCTAAGAATAATCAAGACAACAGAGTCATAAAATTAACCCCAGAAGAGGGTGACACTTAATAGTCAATCTTACCCCCAATGTGCTCAATGATTCTTTTCACTATCAAAGCCAGAACAGAGAACCTATTACTGCAAGTCAATCTTCAGAAATGTATGCAATTTAATCCAATTCAACACATAAGTATGTGTGTACTTGCTTGGCTGTATTGCTTGCTTAAAGTGTGAAACTTGCTACACTACGGCTGTGTCTACACAGCCAAACGCTTCCAAATGTACTGTATAATTTGCTTAAAGAGGTGAAGGTGCCAAGGACAAAACAGAGAATGAGGGGTATCAGGTGTAACAGGGTGACGAAAACGAAGATCAGATATTTGAAACCATGTTCTTTTCATATAATGTAGATAGTGTGACATTTGCATTTTAAAAACACATGCACAGAGAAGTAGAAATTTGATATTTACACAGTAATAGCTAATAAATAACTTAATAATTAGACAATGTAAAATAGTAACTTTGCAGTGGAGAAATCCAGAAGGCACCACCTCACCCAAATGATCAGTTACCACCACCAGTATCAAGACAATGTATTACGATGTATTCAGATGCTCACGGAATCACTGCCTGGTATTTCTACCAAAAGTGCATAACCTGGATCTAATCACGAGGAACTGGACAAATACAAATCAAAGGAAATTCTACAATATAACTGGTCTGTCCTCTTCAAAAATATCAAGAAAATATCAAGGTCAAGAAAAGGAAAGGCTGAAGAACAGTCCCAGATTTAAAAAGACTAAAAAGACATGACGATTAAAGGCAACATGAACCGTGGATCAAGGTTGAGAAGACTGATGTCTAGGGAGGCTAAAGACTCTGCTTCAAATCATCCTGACACTCATTGGTGGAGCCGGGACCAACAAGGACCAAAGCTCTTTCTGAGATGCTAAACCTGAGAGGATAGGGGTGATCTCCTAAAATTCGTGCATTTTAAAAATATTTTTATTTTTAGCTTTAAACATTTTTTAGGCCACAGCTTTTATACTCTACCAAGAGAAATTGAATGTAAGCACTTCTGACCTTCATGAATTTAAAATTCACACTTTTTAATAACACATGAATAACCATAAAGATCCATGAACTGTAACACTTTGTAAATAAACTGAGTCAAAAAAAAAAAAAAACAGCATTATGTGTTACATGGCTTATGGAAAAAAACATATGTAATAGGCGAACCTAATCAACCATCCATTGTGGGTGTGCAGATTAAAGAAATTTTAGTTTGGTGGGAGTATTAAAAAATCCACCCCCAAAAATCAACTGGTTACGCTGGTAAGAAAACGAATGGTAAATGCACTGAATCTGACAAGAAGGCTAAGATGTTCTCAGCTAGAAACTGGAGCGTGGCCTCCCTCCATCCGGCAAAGGAAACCCTGGGGTCATGGTGACAAACTCATCTCCGGGATTCCTAAATACTCTAACTTTGTGAATACGAGGGTCTACCAAACTTTAATTTGCCCTAAAATTGTTTTAAATTTCATTTGGCAGAATCATTCCTGCATGATCACCCTTCTTGGCCTTCCTGTGACAGCTAAAATCAGATTAAACTGAACATCAAGGAAAATACTGTCAGGAACAAGTTACCAAAAATATGAAGAGAGTCTAAGGAATGGAGGAAGAGTCACTCCATTATAGCCGGTGGTGCTGGAAGTTTCCAGGTTACGAATTGGGGCAAAATATATATCTATGTGTATGTATGTGTGTACACACACACACACACACATACGCTTCAGGCCTAATTATTCACATTTATCTTAAAAATTACTGAGTACCTTCTATGTGCCAAATACTGTCCTAGGAGATCCAGCACTCAATAAATCTGACAATGTTTCTCTAGCTGGGAAAGGATGAAGACAGGTGATCAATAAATTAATTTTAAGTATAACATGAGGTGGTATTAAGGGCTATGAAGAAAAATAAAGCAGGATAAAAAGACCAGAGGAACAGCAAAATGATACTTTGACTGGCGTGGTCTGAAAAGGCTTCTCTTAGGATGTGCCATCTGAGCTGACTGGCAGTGGGAGGAGGGCGCAGGCCACATGGTCATCTGTGAGTGGGATGGAGAGTGGCACCCATGGGTCAAGCCCCAAAGTCACAACGTGCATGTAAGCCACTGGTGTCGGCTGACGCAAACATCTGAGTGGGACAGGAAGTCATGAGAGAATTCTGAGCATAGAAGTATGGCAACATTTATGTTTTAGCTACAAAGCAAAAAGCTGTCATTAGAGAAATCAGAACAAAAAAAAAAAAAGATCACCTGGAAGCCCCTGCAATAGCAGAGGCAGTAGTAGTGGCTTAAGCCTGAAGAGCAATAGTGGAAGCAAGAATACATTGTCAGATTCTGACTACATTTTGAAAGAAAAGCTGACAAGATTGCTGAGGGACTGAACATAGAGTTTTGAGAGAAAGACAAAAGCCCAGAATGACAATATGGCTTTCGCCTTTATCTACCTGGCGACTACATTTAACAACTGCTAAGAAGGATAAGCCTGAAGAAGGAGCAAGTTTAGAGAAGGTGAGAAATCAAACCTTTGATTCAATATACATTAGATTTAGGTTGCCTATTAGTCATCAAAGTAGAGGTAGCTAGTGAGCAACCAAATATCCAGATTCTGGGGAGAAATATTAATAAATGCAATAGATAGGTATATAAGTAATAATTGCATATATGTATCTGTGTGAATGTATGTTTGTATTTGTGTTTCCTTCACACGAATGAAGGAAAGTTCAAAAAGGAAAACATGGAGAAGGGAGAAGAGAAATTTGAACACTATTCTGTATCCACTTTGGCACCCATTTGAAGATATTGTAATGAAAATGTATTACTTTAGTAATAAAAAGGAGGGCATTTCTTTTGTTTCCCCCAATAAAATAATAAGTTGATGAAATAATGTGATGAAAAAAATTAAACTCAGAAGTACAGAATTAACAAAGGACTACAGTGAAAACAACACTTAGAGACAACTGTTGTTAACTTTGTGGATTATTTCCTCCCAGCTTTTTTTCTCTGGACATTTACACAAATACACAGTAGTTAAGTATAATTTATTTTTGCTTGTTTGTTTTAACACACATGAGATATGCTGAACTCAAAAGTGGCAGCCAATGAATTCAGCTATGTTTTTGTTTTGTTTTTTAAGTTTTCGTGCTTTTACAGTGGGCTCCACTCTCCAGTTTATCAGGACCCCCTACCACTCCCAACCACTCTGCAGCCCAACTCACTTATCTAAGACCACACCTAGCATCTAAGGACATTTGCACCTCAGAACTTTGTAGTTGGGGGTTTCCTTTACAAAATCATAAGCACATTTCCATTTCATACAGGATTATTTATAAATCTAATTTTTTAATGGACATCTTTATATACAATTCTCTGTGCACATTCCTAATGTAGTATCAAATGTTCAATAAAGCATGTTTAGCACTATCTCAAGGAGTAATTGTCCAGTCACCAAGAAAGTAAAGAATCTAATTAAAAATACTTTTTCTTCAGTTCATTCAGCAAATACCTACCATAGGCCAGCGCATGCGTGCGTGTGTGCGTGTGTGTGGCGGGGGCGGCGGGGGGGGGGGGGGGGAATGAAAGGCAATATAACATACAAATAAAATAACAACACATGAGCACATAACTGTGAAGGGGAGAAAGAGAGAGAATACTATTTAGGTGTCCAAAGCAAACCTCCTGAGGAAATGACATTTGAGCCAAAGCCTCAGTGAAGAGAAGGAGACATGCAAATATCCTAGAGAAGAGCAACCCGAGTACAGGAAAAGAGAAAATGCCGAAGCCTTGAGAAAGAAAGGAGCACAGCATGTGAGGGGAGAGAAAGCAGGCAGTGTGGCCGGAATATCTTAGGAAGAGAGAGCAAATCATGGATAGCCTTGATGACCACAGGAGAGAATCTGGGTCTTTATTCTAATTGTAATAAGAAATTATTGTAAAGTTATAAATAGAGACACGATCTGACCTGATTTAATAAGCTTTGTGATCAGTGTGGCAGTTGTGGAGAGACTAGAATGTAAGGAGCAAAAGTAAAAGCAGGGAAACCAGTTGGGAAGCTGCCAATGTAGCCAGCAGCCAAGAGATGATGGTGGCTTAAATCAGCATTTTAATTAACTGTGGTGGTAAAAAGTGTACAGATTAAAGACATATTTTGGAGGTAATATCGATAGGACCTGCTGATGGAATCAGGATTCTGGGACTGGGAGAACAAGGATGAGCTTCTCCATCCACAACGTGAATGACTTTTACTCTCATCATGAACCTTCTCAGTACTCACTTTCTGAGGTTGTGTACCAAGGGTGCAGACAACAATTACTTGTAGAATCAATAATGAAATGTAACCTATATCAACCGTATTGTCTCACTTACCCAAGTTGGGATCAGTAGGCTGACGTTTCTTAATTTTAGCTTCAGAAATAGCAGAATAATAGGCACACGTCATCTTAATCAGCCACGTTGCTCGAACCATTGGCACTGAATATTTAGCTAAATATGCAAAAACGTCTTCTTTTTTACTAAGGATGGGAACCTAAAAAAAATAACATTTATAATAATCACATACTGTGCTCATCGTTAGGGAAAAGAAAGAGACTCTAAGTTCCTGCTGGCTATAAGAAAGTATATCCTTAAAAAAAAGTATATCCTTGATAGATTTGAAGCAAATTTTCATTAAGAAAAACGAATCAAAATTACGTTTAGCACACTGGCAATGCAATTTTACCAGTTGTGCTTTCTTATAAAAACAAATTATTTTCTAATTTTCAGATGCTGAAAGCTACACATTGTATCAAAATAGAAAAAAATAATTTCATGACAGTCCTCCAAGAAGTTTATCTCAAAATTGAAACAGACAGATCAAGTGAAAAACTCTCCCCACTCTCCATTTTATCCAAGAACATTTTTTATAAAGCTTTTGACTGTACCCATTTCATAAGAATAATACATTCCACAAAGCTTCTAAAAGCACCTTAGCCCAAAATTTAAAATAGAGGCTAAAATGATGGATCAGTGAATCTGCCTAATAAACACTGAGCTAGAAATAGCTGGGTAATTAATTCGCTGTAGAAAGTAGGCACTTGGGACAGTTAATTATTTCTTCGAGACCACGAAGGTACAATTTAGCAAATTAGTATCCCCATGTATCACAGAATGGTTTGAAAGAGTTAATCCACTCTTCTAGAATTCCTCATAAATATCCTGGGCAGAGCCTACTCATCTATGCATAATCTATTCAATTTCTGAATATAGAGTAAGAATGGACAAAAGATTTGCTGGCTGTGATGCAGCAGGATGGAAGCAGTGAAACCGAGAGGCAGGCACACCCCCCACATGAGGGAAAAGTGCCTCTGTGCTCCATTCCTGGCCACAGCCTATTTGGTTCAACCCATCACTCCCAGGTTCTTCGTTTATGAATGTGACAACACCAACCCTATCCACCTCACTGGATGGTTATAAGAGTAATGCGAAAGACTTACATGTATTATAATAATTCTTATTCTGTTGCCAGTTCAAAAGATTTCTCCATGACAGCCAAATTGTTTTCAAGCCATGGATTTAACCCTCCCTTTAAGAGGATCCTAAACACAACAAGCATGGACATCTAGAGCCTCAGTCTCTATGCTTCACACTCTTGCTTGATTTTATGTTGGAAACAAGGCTTCAAACCAGCTAACTGATTCATATAACATGGCATTTTTCTATTAGTTAACCAAATCCATATTTAGTCAGTGGATGTTTTGCATCATACATGTTACAAATTCGACTATTCACACATTTGGTACAAAGTGTGATCCTAGAATTAAAAGATAAGTATTTTTTATAACACAAAGTGATGTCACTTGATTTCACTTGACTAAAACAAGTGATTTCACCTGGTTCTTACCAACGACCCATCAAGCTGCTCCAATACCGAAGGAAAAGCTGCGTGGTTGGACACTGAGATGCAGTGTATCCATCTGCTGTATCGTTTAATAGACTTTTGATCACATACAGTACCTGTATTGGGTTCTGACTTAGGAACATAATCCCCATAACACAGGCAACTAAATTGCCCAAACCTAACTAAAAGATGAACATCACACAGGCCAAAGTTGGAAGGCTTCCTCTCTGCAGATCACAGTGATACATTTTAACAAGAAAATTTCCTGAAAATTTAGCTTACAAGGCACATTTTTCATGGAGCACAAGTTTCTGGGGGTGTACTATGGTTTCAGCTGTGAACAAGAAAAGCACAGGCTTAAACATTCAGTTAAGACCCGAGCTGCTGCTTTTCACTAGAACACATAGTATGGAATCAGTGAGTTAAATTTCTGCTGTCAAAGCCTCTTAATCAGACAAACCAAAAGGTAATATCAAGGCCTGAAAAACAGGCAAATGCAAAAAGTAAAGTTAGCATCTCCAAAGAAACATTGCTAACAGTATCTTTTATAGATGTCTAAAGGATTTCTTTTGAACAGAAGGAAAACACACACACACACACACACACACACACACACACACACACACAGTTTGAACATGTAAAATGTTTAGATGAAACAGCAAACAAACTGAGCCACAGGTCTTACATGAACAGCAGAAGGCAAAATTGTAATTCAGCTCACTGCCCCTATGGCGGAGCCCTAAAAAATGGCTGACTCAAATCAAGGGCTTTAGAATTCAGAAGAACATATGTGAAGAAAGTTACTTAATTAAGAAAAAGACATGTATTGATGGTTTTGTCAAATTTACTGTTTGGGCCAGCTCAGGAAGGAAACTATCTTTTACCACGACTGAAGTATGACTTCCTTACAGTGATGGATTCCATTTTCAGCAAAGAAACCATCTGACTTTAACTTGTAGCTGAACCTAGGCAATCAATGGGCAGCTGTCTTGTTTCTAAATCAAGCTAGAGCTGCATATTAGTACCAAAAGAAAACTAAGACACCCTAGCGTGTGACAGTCTTCCATCCTCGTATCACCTTTCTCCTCGAATGCACGTTGCCATCAGCATCCCCCACTCGCTTAGCAGTTGTAGAGGAAAAAGAAACTCCGTAGACCCTGGTAATCAAGTCACCTGAAGTGAACACGTGACAACAAATGAACTAACTCTTCAAGAGCTAGAAGAACATCCCTAGTGGGCCAGAAGTCTCCTTTTCCAAACCCAGCTATGACCTCGATTGAGTTAAAGGGCCCTTTACAGGCCATTGTTGACTTTTCGGTGGCTACATACTTGGAATGCTATGGAGCTTCATAGTAACAGAAAACCAGGTCTAGAAACCTGATCCATCCCATACAGGAAACTATTTTGAACTCTAGATCAGAGCCAGAAGATGACTCGGGATCTTAGCGAGAAAATGAAGGTCTTCTGCATTAAGCCACCTCACAGAGAAACACCAGAAATTTTAAAAAGTATCTTAACTTTCCAATATGAAGAACATGCAGAGAATATAATCTTTTACCCAACTCTGAAAGAACTTTCACCATCTCAAGAAGATGATATGCTGAAGAGGGGAGAGGAGAGAGAGGAACTCTTGAAATGCTCAAGAAATGAATGCTTCAAGATACAGTCAATGATTTTATAAAGAAAACAACATTAGTCTACAGCCATGCCACACTGAACATGCCCGATCTCATCTGATCTCGGAAGCTAAGCAAGGTCGGGCCTGGTTAGTACTTGGATGGGAGACCACCTAGGAATACCAGGTGCTGTAAGCATAAAAAAATAAAATAAAATAAAAATAAAGAAAACATCTTTAACTTTGCAAAAAATTAACGTCAGGGCTTACCTGAGGGACACCTGACTTGGCCAGAGGCAGCTCCTAATAAAGAAAGAAGAACAATGGCTAATACAATGCACCGTAATTCATCTCCTTCCTAAAAGATGAGAGAGCTCACTACACACCTAAAGCAAGCGCATCAATTCCTCACCAGTTTCGCTTTCAGGAAACAGCCACAAAATGCATTCTAAAAGCTTATAAGAAAGGAAACTCTAAAAAGAAAGATGGCAGGGTGGCTACATGGGAGGTGAAGGTACTAAACAACATGGAAGATATGGACTATTGTTAGAAAGCCAACAAATATAGAAGGATGCCCTCTGATTTACATGGCCTTCATAGGAAATAGTGGCCTATGGTAAATGTTCACTACTGGAAAAGAAAGGCCACACTGTTCGGCCTGTATTGAGACAGAGGCACTATCTGAGTAGCAAGAGGTGGTTCCGCTGACTTTTCTGATTTTCAAGGATTTCAGTTGCCTTTAATTATTGAAATCTATGAAAGGCAACATAATGCTACAACACTAGGGCAAAATAAAGCCAAGGGAGCTATGGGTACCATTTTCAAAGAGTTGCTTTACAAAACAAACAAGCAAATACATGAAGGAGATCTCCTCTAAAATGGGTCTGCACCAAGCCTGATAATAAAAACTTAATACCAGGAACAGAAGATGGGCACCCCTAAAACTAAAGGGTTTCAGGGGAGAAAAGAAAGATCTGTGGGATTACCTGAAAGGAGTTCAAGACATTAGAGATCAAGACCAAGAGGGAGGTCTCCAGCTCTCGTCTAAATTTCAAGACATTTTTTATCACTCGGGCTATAGGACTGTTGAATGCATGTATTATTTCCCACTTAATAAAAATGACCAAAGGCAAAGATTTTAAAATAACTCTCCCTCCCACCCCACTCCACCTCAAAAAAGCTGGGAACTATAAATAAACCTGCCCATTTTGCTCTAAAATTTTTTCAAAGAAGTTTTTCAAGCACTCACAGAACCACTATCTTTATCCTGTTTGTTAGGGAGACAACTTAGAGCATTTGGATGGTTGGTTACCTTCAAGACAAGGAAATAACATCAAAGCAAGGATTTCTACACAACACACTTTAGACATCCTGGGCTAAGAAAATTGAAAATGTAGTAGAAATAAAGTATTATTGCCTGTTCTTGATTTAAAAACTTTGTCTACCTAAAGGCCACATAAACTGTTCCCTGTGTGGAATGTTTATATCTAAGGACAATCTAGACACCACATGCCTTCAAAATAAAGGAGAAAACAACATATGTGCAGCATACACCTGGTACAGTATATCTGCTATCAAGGCTGTGAGTTTTGGAGAGAATTAGGGAAAATAAATGCATACTTGAGCATTATTTCAAACATCTTCATTTCTATAAGACCATAATTAAAACAATATAAGAAAAAATACCTTTTTTGCCAAAATAGCAAGTGGTTTATTTCCTGCTAAGTCAGAGAACCAACTATGAATTGCACTCTGGGATCGAGCAGTAACCAGCCAATAATTATCTTTAGCATTAACTTGTGGTTTCTTCTTTCCGGTGTCCTGGAAAGTGTTAAGCTTTAGTTTCTCAGCTAATATGCTGCTAAAATAAGCTCCAATCTGAGGAAATAAGAGAGAAAAAGAAAAAGTTTAAAGACAATAAATATGTTAATAATGTATATTAGTATTTTATTTTTTATTATTTTAACTGAAAATCTTCAAACAGCCCATCAGAAAATAAAATGGCAATTGAAGCCCTTGAAGTCAAGAGCTGTCATTTCCTTTTACTAACATAACTCAAAAACTCCCATAGCACCTTTATTCCGCTATTAACGAGTAATTCAAGGAAAAAAAGAAGAGCCTTTGAAAATCTCTGGTAAGATGAAGTTAATTACAACCTGAATAAATGTCAAGAGAATGAATTCCACTTTAATCTTCAGCTGTACTTCTCTTTTTTCATACTACACACCCATTTGGAGAGAATAGTTTTCCTGAGAGGTGTTGCATACGAGAACAGAAAGCCTAGTAATCACACAGTAATCATTCTTTTCCTTGTTTCATCTTAATAGCATATATTTTTGGAAAGGAAACTCTGTATTTACACTCAGTGCTTTTTAAAAAGGAGTCTAGAGAAATTTAATTTATTTAAATGGCAAATACAAAAGATTCGATTAAATTAAGTATTCAACGTTTTTGATTGGGCTGCCAATTTCATGAGTACATGTGTTACAAGAGAAAGCTACTGTTACATGCTCTGAAATTGAGCAAAGCAGCAAAGGGAGCTTCTGTGAATTACTGCAGCATTTTCTTATTAACCATCTTAAAAGAGGACAAAGGAAGGAGACAGGGACAAAAAAGAAGGGGATAAAGTAATATCTAAAAATTAAATAAATCCACAGAAAACCTGTTGGAATTTCCAACAATCGTATCAGAGCATCACATACCATTTCCCGGGGATTCTTTAATAATATTGTGTGAGCAACAATTTCTAATAAATATCTCCAAACAAGGCTAGCAGACAGTGTCAGCCATGATTTAAATAAAATACCTACTCTGGTGAAGCAAAATAGGAATCACTACTTTAGTTTAATGCTCAAGAGTCAAACAATTAGTCTACAGGTTGAAATACAGTTTTAAGTAATTAGCCAAATTTATTTACCATGTGAAAAGTTGATACTGTACAATTTTTTTTTTTACTGTGAATTGTAATTCCTTGACCTTGTGATTAATGTACAATAAAAGGAATCCTCTTTTGGTGTGTTAATGTAATATGATAATAAATATTAGAGTAGTTAGAAAAAAAAATAAGCTTTACTTTTTTTTAAACAAGCAGCTTTATAGTGTGTTTTTTAAGCAAATGTTTGCACAATGTCCAAAAAAATCAAATGCAAAAGTTTAGCAAAACAAGTTGGTTGAAAACAAGCAGCCATAGTAGCAAATGGTTTAATTTTAAATTTCTCAATGTTTGATCTTTGCACAAAGGGCACAAAACACCTACATACGCAAACTGTTTTATATTTAAAAGGTCTCTTATTTGTAATTATGTCTGAGCATTTTAATCATAATAAAAAAAGGTGTAATTT